CCTTACTTAGACACCTCTGGAACATACCAGCCCAAAGAAGATACTTTAAACGCGGATACATTCAGAGGGTGTAAGATTTCTTTAAATTGTCAAGTAGGCTTTGAATGCGATTAACGTTTGACGTCACTTCATGATGATAATGATGATTGTGTTTGAGCGTGTGACAGTGATACGTAAATAATCACAAAATTCCATGTTTTCACACAAACCTAAGTTCTTATATAGTATAAAAAACCCCGCTACTAACGCTACCTCTCAGGAACCATTATTCTAAAATCAGTTTAAATATTATTCTCCGATGTGCGCATATATCGTTCGGGTGACACGTTCTTTCCAATACTCCCAACCAAAAACTCTACATACATTTCATCGTTTTACGTGTATGTTAAATGATTTGTTCATTTCAACATCCTTTATGTAATCAACGTAAGAATAGGAGATAAAGAATACGAATTATAAATCTCCCGATTACGTCATTAAAATATAAATTACAATTGGCTTCAGAATAACTAATAACCATTCGATAGGTTAAGTGACGTTCCTTCATAATTTGATGTGGATGTTGTGCTATTCTACACGACCTTAAAATCGTATCTTTCTATACCTTACGAGCGGAGATAACAAAATTATAGGTGAGAAAATTCGTGAGATAGATACTGAGGTACTGCGATCTGGTGGCCAAAGTGTGAACTATCGAAAAAGGCGGATTTAATGTCTCTAAATGCTCGTCGCAAGAGCGTACGAGGATTCTGTGTGTATTCCGAGCATATACATGTCGCAACAAGGCGCCGTGTTGTCACGAAAGTTTACACGCATGTCCCCTGCGACAGAGGATGTTACAGGAAAAAAACAAAGGCACGCACTAAGCGACTCGGTTTTGTGACATTTTGTGGCCTTTACAGAAATTACTTCCATGAATCGTACTATATTCCTGTTGCGATATGAACACTTTTTCCTTCTTATGTTATCCGTCACACACTTTCGTTCCACTAAGTAAAAAACAATAAGAGTGAAGAAAGAGGAATATGAAACCGCGTATTAAATATACACAGTTGAGTGTCGACATTTAATATGTGGTCAGGACGTCATAGGAGGTTCCCCTGCCACACTGACGAACCAGAGCTGAAGAGAAGATATTTAATGGACCGAATACTCTTGCATACAGTTGGTATCAAATTCGAATATCGCTGAAGAAGTCACTTACTTTGAATAAGGACATTTGTTGTCTTCCACAGACGTCGAAGGCGAGTTTAGGAATAATAACCACATACAAGAAACAATAACTTCCGGTCAACTTAACCACAATGTATTCTGACTTGTGTACACGATAAATAGCATGCACAATTGGTTCCCACTAAGCAACTAAAGAACCAATCCATTAAGTAACCTGTAAGTCATTAACCTATTTCTTGAAGATCCTTATTTTAATACATTTCCACGGTAACGTATAATTTTAACTATAGAACTGTTACATTTAACTGCTGACTGATGGCAGATACCAAGTATTTTATTAGATGATAAAGTTGCGTCATATTGTGATAAATATATATTTGTTTAAATCTTGTCAGTCTGATCATAATAAAATTTCTATTAAATATTTAAAATATATTAAAATATATTAAAATGATGTTCTCTATCGAAATGTTCGATTTACATTAGAACATCACTTTTTACACGACATGTTTCAGTTCTAAATGAACCATCTTCACACACGGCAATACTTCCAGACGGTCGTGACTCCTCCACAACTTCTGGCCGATACAAAACAACAACAAACCATCCACCCACACAAAATCATGTTAAACACGACGTATATATATACGAACAACTTCGAATACGATATTAAAATACAATAAAAACTGGAAGAAAACATCATTTGAAATCTGATAAACATCTGACTAAAAAGTTGCATTTAAGAAATTATATTTAGGTTTATATAATAATTTTATACACCTGAAGATGGTTCATTTAGAACTGAAACATGTCGTGTAAAAAGTGATGTTCTAATGTAAATCGAACATTTCGATAGAGAACATCATTTAATATATTTAAATATTTAAATGTTAATTATAGTAATATTTTAATATTTAATAGGAATTTTATTGTGATCAGACTGACAAGATTTAAACAAGTATTTTATTGATATTTTTTTCAAAACCATTATCACCGCCGCCATTAATATAAACTACGCAGGATTACACTAAATCGTCTGTTCATATTTTCTACGGGTTCAGTAGGATCTCTCCATAAAACAGCACCAGGACATTACCACACCGAAAATTAATCCGTCTTCCCTAGGTAAAAAAAAACAGCTCTTAGAGGAAGATTTCATTATGCTAACACACGTTACTTCGTCAGTACAAGAATATTCCATTTTCAAGTCACCACGAGGTGTCACTCTACGTACAGCTGCATTCAAACTCTGTGACTTAAAGAAAACTTTTTCTGAAGTGGCAATATTATGTTACCTGAAGCACGTCGGTGTCAGAGAACTTCGCGTGTTGTTAATGAAGTGAAATTCTTGACATTTACAAAAAAAAAAAAAAAGAAGTTCGTTTCCCTATTACACCTCCGTGGCAGGGTGAGATACACCCTGGCAGGATGCACTCAAACAAACAACGGAAGCATTCGACGTCGACTTGGTACATTCCAGGGTTCCGAAGTCTCAGACCTAAGATACCACAATTATGTCAGAAAGAATTCCATAACAACATATAAAAAATTAACGTCTGAAGTTTTATAAAGATTAAAACGATTTTTAATAAATAAATATAATTGAATAACGTTAATAAGCCCTTTCCGTATATTATACATGTTAATAAAGTAGACTAACTAATTTACTAAAAAATCTGGTGGTAGACATTGGAGCATTAGCATCGCGTATTACAATAAATTCAAGTCGGAAAGGATCCTGAGCTAGATCAATCAACCCCTCCTCCCCCAATTATCATGTCCGAACATTTTTGGTCTTCAAGAGACGTCGCATGAGAGAATTCGACACAAAAATCCCGTAAGCATAATCTGCCTTCCCATCCTGGCTACATCCACACAGACATTACGCCTCTTATCAATACAATCCTAAAGATTAAAGATTATATAATGCGACGAAAACTATCTAAATTATTTCTCTAACTGTATCCATCATCACAAAGTGTACAAAAAAACAATTTTTTCGAACTTCATAATTTATACCTTTCATAAAATGCTAATACAAAATGTAAAGCTATCTCACTATACGCCATGTAGGCGCTTGGGGGGAGTGAAAGTATAGCTCCTACTAATTCTTGACCTCGGCAGTAGATGGGGTGTGAGTGGTCAGGATCACACTCCGGCCGAGCTTTATCCCCGGGAAAGGACCCCGGTACCCATCGGATAGGAGGCGCCCCCGAGCCGGTCTGGACGTAAAAGCTAGAGGAAAAAAAAATCCTTTTCCCCCGTCTGGGATCGAACCCCAGTCGTCCAGTAGCGAGTCACTACACTGACTAAGCTAACCCGCAACGATTATAAAATCCAGAAGGCTGTCGGGAGGTATGTAGAGTTTATGAAGGAGAAAGGTGTACAAAGAAAGAACCACTCAGAAGACCTAGGAGTAGATGGAAAGATATTATTAAATTAGATCTAAAGAAAATAAGTATTTAGGGTGTGGACTGCTTCATATGCCTCAGGACGTGTACCACCGGACTATTTCGAACACGGTATAAACTATCTTGCTCCATAAAAGACGAGGAATTTCTCGACTAGGCGAAGGCACTTTTAGATTTTTAACAAGGTCTCTGCCTTATTTATTTAAATCGTTAACTTATTAGGCAAGGCTTAATGATGTGTTTTTCTAATCGCGAAGGACTGGGCTTGCATACTACGGATTGGTACAATGGAATCGTGAATTTATCTGAAGTTAAGAGAAAATAAAATTCAACTCGAGGCCTCCTTATAAGTTTACAATATTACCTGTTGTTTTACATGGGCGTGAAACGTGGTCTCTTTTTTAAAAGAAAAATCTAAATCTAGGACGACTTAGAGCAGGAAGACAATGAGAAAAATTGAACCAAAATATAAGTGTAAGTACCAGGGGATAAAGAAAATTGATTTTAAGAGGTTTCATAATTTTCATTTTTGAAGGTGGTAAAATCACTAATTATAATTAGACAGACGAACCACGCAGGGAAATTTACAAATTTTTAAGAAATTATTCAAGTATCAGATTGGAAGGAGGAAAACACTTGCCTTCTGTAACTTTGAAGTAATAACAATCTGTACCAACTGCGCAAGATGTTGCTTAGTAGTTAGTTAGCAAATGCGTAAGTTAAGGAGACAGGAGAACATCATATTTGATCGTAACATCCGTACGTTTAGCGGAAAAATGAAATTGTGTCGAATCTATTACATCTAATGGCATTCTGCCCATGTCTCATGATGACATCTGAAGATTACCGAACGCAAGAGGGTCCCTGAAGTGTATGAAAAATATCCCACTTGTTCACCCAGGCGCCGACACGGGGGGGGGGGGGGGGGGAGGGGGGTTGAAAAAGGAACAAAATTCCTTCTTTATTATTGGACGAGGCGTGCGTGACTTGTCTTCTTCAATTCTCCGCCAATCACGAGTAAAATAACGCGGGGCACCCCTTCCTCCCCATTGTCAACGCTCGCGACGCGCAGGTTTTGTTTTGAGGGTAATCTCCCTTAAAAATGACACAAGTTCAAAGCTTGAATTTCTGGTTCTGAGGACGGCGCAAATGGTATCTAAAACAATGACCGAGCATGGGATCGTATCTGCAACGAGTTAAAGGAAAATTAATTCACACAGGTGAGAGAGAGTGGTCGTACGGGGTAGTGAGAAGTTTGAACAGGTCGAGGGGAACTGCGCCGTGGAAGCCTGCAACACTGTGGCTCAGTG